TGATATTTATGATCTTCCATCTGAGACAGGCTCATCAGGAAGAGTAGCGCGTAGACTTTATACCCCAGGCTGCCTGCCCACTGCAATAACAAGACACACATGGCTGAATTTACATTAAGTTCAGGTCAGTCTCAAAGAATAAACTGTCGATATTTGCACATATTTACAAGCTAATTTAAAGGTTGGTCATACATTTGGAATTTGGGGTGGGGAATTTCAATGTAAATAATGTAAAAGGCGTAGCAGTTTCTTGGATGATTCTAGAGAAGGCAGGCAAATTTTAGGATCTTTGTGACATCTTTACTCCACTTGTCTCTTTGTGTACACCCTTTGACACTCACACACACACACACACACTCCCATACCCCGAGCCTCGTTTGTGTAAGTTTGTCAGATGCATATTCACACACTCTCAATTCAATTACATACATTTCATTTACAGCATTAAGTTTAAAACACCTTGCATGAATAAGATTACGCTTGTTTATTCTTTTGTTTAAAGGGGAGAGTGAGTGCCCCGTTTCTCACATACCTGCTACGAGTGGTACCTAATTAAAGGGGAGGGCCGCAGAGTTAAATAAATATATTTTTTGGCAAACATTTTGGACATTTGCATTTTCTCTTCTGCCACTCACTTCTCTCTTCGACCACTCCATGCTGCACTACCTCAACATTGTATACAGTTGAACAACATCAGTATGGTATCCAGACACATTCACACTCACTAATACTACAATACGCATCTCTGGACCAGGTTCCATAAGGAATATTCTGACTTTTCATGATGTTGTTCTTTAATACTGAAATCCACAAAGGAATGTTGTCAACAAAGCCCAAACTAGAGATGTCCTTGGTACAGCATTTAAGCACATTTCAATAACCACAATTCGACATTAAAATGCATCACATGCTTATGCAGTTGTAAATCAAATATCTTTTTTTTTTTTATGTTTCCGTGGAGATTCAATAGTTCCATCTCACATTTTGCTGAGAAGTAGTTATGTGTATAGTCTTAGTTTTAGCTGCCTTCTGTATTATTTCATCAACAATGGCTTGGTGCATTTCTATTTTTACGAGATCAAACACATTTACCGGTTTAATTAGGCTTCATGAATTTGTCTGAACTGTGAACTTCATAACAACCCAACACATTTTTTTGTTTTAATTTTTTTTTTGCAACATCCAGCCATTCATCTGGATTTGCCTTGCTATTGTGAGCTGTGTAATAAAGTATTTCAATGTATTTTCCTTTGTGCCACAGCTCACAAGAATGGCACAATGACATTTATGACCGCTTCAAACTTTTTCAGGTCAACTGCTCCAGAAAAAGTTGGAGCTTCTTGCCAAGATATATATACATTTTGTCAGAGGTTCAATACCATCGACGAGACTGTTTCTGCTCCGTCCACCGCCTGCTGCTGACAACCACTGCTCCCAAGCATGCACTAACCTCCACTCCATCCTGCTCTCCCTGAAATAATGCAGCTAGCTTGTCTCCTTGCATGCAGAGGCGGATATTTATGTGAGTGCAATGGCAAAAAGTCCCAGGGTCCGTGGGGGAGTAGCTGAATGAAATTGAAAGAAAATGTATCGTAGGTGACAAAAAGATGGGGCTGCCTAATATAACTACAGCAAGGAGGCAATGCTGTTTACCTGCTGGAATTTCCCCCAGGATGGTGGTGACAAAGTCAATACAGAAGTTTAGTGTCCTTTATGGGGAGAGATTGAGATTGCAGGTGACATATGTTAAGAATTAGGAATGTGTTTAATCAGAGGAAAAAAAGTACTTTCTCTGGGAGAGGGGTTGCAAATGTGTCCGATTACGAATACCTTGTCAAAGGGAGATTAGGACCGACTGTATATGGCGGATATTGCGGCTGCGCTAAGTGGTTATACTGTATAATTCGATATGGAATGTTCAGTAATATTGGATGGTACATGCACGTAGACTGATCAGGGATAATATTGTTTATGAAAATATTTGGAGAGATTAACGACAAAAATGATTATTATGTTGCTAATAACAGAGGTGGGACAAAGTCATTGTTTAGCAAGTCACAAGTCAGTCTCAATTCATTGCCCTCAAGTCCCGAGTCAAGTCACGAGTCAAGACAGGCAAGTCCCGAGTCGAGTCCAAGTCAAAGGCCAACAAATCTCAAGTCAGTCCCAAGTCCTACGGTTTGACTTTCGAGTCCTCTCGAGTCTTTTTGACCGCGATTTGTTTCTTGTTGGTCTCCACGTACTTTTGTAGGCAAACAAAATAATGTTAGGAATCATTTTGCTGGTGCATTCTCGTTGGTCTCTGACCCATGGACTAACAGTTTGTTCCATGTGGTTGGCTGCTGGTAAATCAAAACTATGTTGTGCCAGATGCAGGCTCAGTTACACATGCACAGACCACACATAAAATCAGAGCAGTCCGTGTCAACATACTTTTTATCTTTGGGGTTTTTAATGGGAAGTATCAAGTGCAGCATATATGAATATGAGTATTGGGCTAGGACCTGTATCTATATAATCAGTTTAATGTCCATAGTGGTTATTGTTCCAAAGGACTGAAGGGACCAATGGAGGGGAAGGAACCTGGCCTGTATGAACTGGGCCAGCATTAGTAATATCTCATAATTACCAATATATCATTACATAATAAAATGTCTCATATAAATTAATTCAATCAGTCAAAGTACTGATTCTCATATCAATGAACCATAAACAATAGTGCAAATATTAATCTAGCTTAGTGCACATAATCAAAACAACTATCTAATGTATGCAAACTTTAGCAGGAGGAGCACAGCAAAAACATACTCATAATAATAGGCCTCGGCGCGCACACAGAAAAATATAAGAAAGAGCCAACAGAGCAGCGCAGGCTAGCGCTAGTTTGACTCACCAGTTCCTCTTTAAAACACGGCACACAGTGTGACAACTGCGTCGATTCAATTGTATGAGGCGCCTGTAGTGAAAGCATATCAATTACGGTTTGTAGAACAAAATATGACGTTAGGTCGCGATAAATACCTGCAGCTCGCTCATTTCCAGCTCCCCTAGACAACACACCCACCGGTGAATGCAGTCCGCTTGTTTAGGGAAGTGTTGCTGCGCGAACTGCCTGGAACTCACGTTCGAACTCTCGCGCGAGCGCTACAACTACCGCGAGGCTTTGTTTCTTCAGAGACGGCATAGATAGAAAGAGATGCGGAGAAAGGTAAAAATGGCCCGGGTTACGCAAGTCTTTGCAAGTCAATTGGCGCAAGTCCAAGTGAAAGTCAGAGTCATTGATGTTAAAGTCCAAGTCGAGTTGCAAGTCTTTTTATATTTGGTCAAGTCGAGTCTAAAGTCATCAAAATCATGACTCGAGTCTGACTCGAGTCCAAGTCACATGACTCGAGTCCACACCTCTGGCTAATAATGACTTCGTCAGATTGGCGCAAAAGCATAGGGAGATATATTTTGTCATATGGTCCGTACAATGTCAAAATGTTCTACTACAAGACACTTCACCCGCACCTAGAATGAGTCTGGTGTGTGCATGTATGGTTGATGGTGGTCAGAGGGGACGATGGCACATACTGGTTGCCACACTTCTGTCAGTGTGCCCCAGGGCAGCTGTGGCTACAGTAGTAGTTTATCACCAAAGTGTATGCAGTGAATGAACATGACATGTGAAGCGTCTTTGAGTGTCCAAAATAGCGCTATATAAAGCCAATGCATTATTATTATTTTCTGGTAGATTTTCAGATGTTCTGTTCAGTTTGGATTGAGTCAGAACTGGACATAAGGTAAAGGCTGAGTGTTGCAGACCGATTAAGTCAAATAAACTATATATAATAATCTTATTCAATGTTTAGAATAACATGAATTATGAGAAAATTGTATGAAGAAAATTAGCTTGAAAAAGCTTTTACATGTCATGGATGCCAATAATAACTCATTATCAGTTCCAAAAGTAAATTGCAAGAATTCAAACTATTGTTTTTAAATATATATCGCGAGCTGTGTGTTCAATCGGGCTGTTCTGTAGGTACAATATCAAAATGTGTTTAATGATATGGGGTACCCAAGTTCTAAGTTTGGGTTCTATCCTAAATTGGTTGAAACATGTGGTCTATTTTAGAATTGGTCTGTCATTATTGAAAGCAGCTAATCTATTTTACCACCTCAGTTCTTTTTATGTTGGTTTCCTGTAGTTTGATAGCCATAACAAGTCAAGCAAAGGTTCAAAATGAAGCGAATCCAATGTCTGCCTTTCAAATGAGGTGTATGGGGACATACGGAGATATAGTAGCAAAACAGCAAAAGGAAAAAACCTGTTCTTGGATGACACGGCCGCTGCTCTCGCCCAGCACAGAGGGGGCTGGTTGTGGCCAGGTTTGTTTTGGCAGGAGCTGTGCTGGTTTTGATTCAACCCTGTGCCAACCTCTGACAGCAGGCCCACTGCGCAATGTCACCTACAGCGCTGTTGCCATGTAATGTGGCACAGTGAAAACCTAATTCACCCGTTGGATTGTTCGAGTTAATTGCAAAGTAATTATCATGCACTTCGAGATTTTAATAGTTTGTTGAGGAAAAAAAAAATCAATCAACTATTGTTTGTACAGTTAAAGACACGACAGCTACGACACAACATAGACTTTTCTGGGGGAGCTCATTTAGATAACAGAAGGAGTTCTTTTGAAAGTAAACCTGCCCATTGTGAAAGCTTTCTCTGCCACATGACCTTTTCTAAATGTCGCAACAGTAAATCTGTTTCAACACTTCATTTGTGATAACTTGCAAAACAATTTCCTATTCACTACTTCTGTATGCTGTTGGCTTTGATGGATGGCCTTTCTACTGCAATGTCATGATGTAAATATATGTAAAAGAGCTGTGGTGTATCACAGGATGTTGCAAAAGTGAGTGTGCAGTATGGATGATTTGGCTGCGTCACTTTGAAGGAACACAAGTTGTGACGAAAACAATTACTGACAATGATTTTCTTTTCTTATCTTGACAGAATGATCCCAACGACGACCAATGACTTCCTGGTGCGTGACCTGGCGCCCGGCCGAAGTTACGACCTGTGTGTTTTGGCTGTGTTTGATGATGTGGTCACCTCGCTTACTGCCACTCGTCCTCTGGGATGTCTCTCGTTCAACACAGACACCGAGTTCAGCCAGTGCCAGGCCCTCCACAGCCACTTCCTGGGAGGAACTATGATAATTATCATCGGTGGAATCATTGTCGCTTCTGTTCTGGTTTTTATTATCATCTTAATGATTCGTTACAAGGTGTACAGCCATCATGGGACGGGCCACGGGAAAGTGGCCATTTCTGGGGCTGCACCAAGAACACAGAGCAACGGGCAAGGAGGCCAAGTGCAGGTCCTTTCCCAGTCTGCGTCTAAAGTGACTGATGGTCAAGAAGACCAAGGGTTGGGCCCATCCCGAGCCGTGTCACCTAGCAACACGCTCAGAGACACTGTGGCTCTAGTGGAGGAGGAAAGCACCAGCCAGAACATTATGTCTAGGACTGACTCTTTGGCCAATGAGGAAGTGCTGTCGCCTACCAAGGCCCGCTTCTCCTCCCGCGTGGCCATCGAGATGAAAAGCAGGCCGTCATCTGTCGCCAAAGAAGCAACCTCCCCCAAGGAACTGGCAGGTACAGACACCGCAGGTTGCATCACAGCTTACAAAATGATTTAAGCTGAGACGGGACAGGACATATTAGAGGAGTGAATGACTGACAACTGCTAGAGACAAGGGTAGAATGAGCAGACAGGGACAAGTGGGAGCAAAAACACAATCAGAGATAAAGGAGGGTGTTGAGACTTTGAAAAGGAGTGAGAGAATATTATCCTGCGTACTTGAGTGTGAACGATTGAACCAAATGACATCCTTGTGGACCGTTGCCAGCTCTGAGCTTTAATCAAAAGTTTTAATTAAACCTTGATCGATGAAAAATAAAGTGTTAAGGCCAAAGAGCAAAGATTATTTAAGAACTGACTTATTAAAATAGTCATTAGAAAGTGAAAGTTCTGGCTCATCACGGTTACACACTTTGTAGACTTTCTGTGCCTCGCAGAATCACAAATGTCTGCTCATTCTTGCTCATTCCATTATCCTGCATTAAATCTGCTAGAAACAGTTAGACTTGAGGCAGCCACAGAAAGCTTGTTAGCTATTTAGAATGGCACAAGCTGAGTGCTCAAGTGTAAAAGAGGTAAAGTTGTCTTTTAAAGACAAAAAAGGTTCAAAACACTTCAACTTCCACATTAACAAGGAAAGTTTCTGTTCTTGTTAAACTTACTGGTTTTTTTTTTTTGAAAATACATCGCTTTGTCCCTATTTTTATTTCATATTTGCAGGGATCTCATCTTTATGTTACACTTGTGCTTATGCTGCATACAATATCTTGACTTTAAGGCCATAGACTTGAATGAAAATGCAGAATAATATCCATATGAGCTTCTATACGTTGCCACATGTTCCAGCGTTATAGTCGTAGCTTAACTATTCATGCCTTGTAAATTGCCGCCCTTGAGTCTTTGCCATTCCACTCCAAGCAGCGACCTCTTCATTCAGAAGGATTATAATTAAACCCAAAGGGGATGAACAAATTCAATCATAGAAAAGGTAAAAAGCGTTGTTGTACATATGAATCACAGCCTTTTGCCGTAGGGCATCACCAAAATTTCATGACCCCATAATCTTATGTATCTTTAACATGGTAAGAACATATATAGCCTTTTGCTCTTGCTTTCATGGGCATTACATAATGTTAGCTGGATCCTCACTCCACAGTGATCGGTGGGTTGACCTACAGTAGAGGCTTCTTCTTCAAGATGTGAAACCAAAAGGATAAGCAGAGATTAAAACGATGTATTCATGAGGGCAAGCAGGTAGAGACCCAATCAGAAAAGTTATTATATCTTTACCTTAAAATATCAGAAACTGACACTGGGGATTTTATAGATAGCCCTACATCAATCATCGAATAATGTTATGTGAAGCGTCTTAGAGTGTCTGAAAAAGTAATGCAATTGTTATCATTATTATAATAAACCTTACCTTGGACTCCACCCTACACCAACAGAGATCAGTTTTGTTCAATGAATTTAACATTTTGGGTAAATCCTCTTCTCCATTAAATGAACAAAGAAAGAACCCGGACACCATTTCACACAAGTGGCTTAAAGAGCTGAGTCGCAATTCTTTACCAGCCACTCTTATCGTACCATCAACCTTTGTGAATGCGTGGAAATGAGGTGCCATTGAACCAGCTTCTCAAAAGGAGAAAGAGGAGAGGAAATCTGTGAAAAACGAGGTTAGCCTATGCAGCAAGTTCAGCCTGAGTTCCACCTCCCCCAACTTGACCATGATTGGAAGGACGTTTATTTCACAATTAACTGGTGATGTTGTTTTCAAAGCCTGCAAGGATTTTTATTGGATCAAATTAAACTACAGGGGATGTTAATTGCCTTGAAGTAATGGATTCTGGATTTTTAGGTCATGCCTCTGCTTGCTGAAAATGTTGCCAGTGAAACGAAGCCTTCGAGTGTTAAAAACTGGGTTGACTACTTTTGAAATCTTCCCCACCGTGGAGTGCTGTTTGAATTAAAGGGTTGCCGACATTTTACTTTACAAAATCTGTACCATGCACCCACTTGGTATCTGCTACAGTAGTTTATCAAACGCATACCCAAGAACTATAAGCGTTGCACGGTCCACTCGAGTTTCCCTTTTCTCATCTGAAAGAGCTACAGACATGAATATGCATGAATGAATGTGATTGAAATAATTGCAATGTGTCATAGAGTTTGATAAGAAAACTATGCAACACAGTTCTACCATTCAAGAAAGGTTTCGGATGTGTGTCAGTGCTGAGGGGAGTTTTTTTTTTGGCCCAGCCTAGTTTAGCCGCTGTGGACTTTTGAATGCACACGTTGAATGGGGGCTCGTGCTGGCTAACGCAGGATTTTTCACATGTTCCTGGGTGGGGGGAAAAAGACGGCAGGAGGGAAAAGTGCTTACACATAAGTTTCAACGGTGGAGATAGGCGTCACTACGTCTGTTAATATTTACAGTCTATGGTCACAACATTCTTCCCTGTTCAAAAACAAACTGTAAGTTGTTTTCAAATCCATTCATGCTAATATTAGAAACTTGTGGCACAAATATGTAACTCTGAATGTCTTAAATTCTTGTCGCAGTGCTGTAATACTATGATGCCATTGTACCACTATGACATCACACTCAGTAGTTTTCTGATTTCTAAAACAAAAGTATTGTCCACACAATTGTTTTGGGAATTTATCAGGTGAAACACGCTTTGTTTCGGCTAGTATTTTCTTTAAATTTGGAAAAATACAAAACAAATTTTCCACCTTCCTCTGGTGGTAGCATAGGGATACTGCAGGCTGATACCAGTATTCATCCTTCATATTTATTTCACCATATAAGAAGATATCATAATTACATGATTGTATTGTTATATATTCATGACAACAACACTTAAACATTCTAAAAGTAAATGGTATCATGTTTTTAAAGGCTAAAATTAAAGCGTAATATATTCCTTCTTTAAACCAGCCGTACTAACTATATCTACCATAGCCACTTACGCCTTGGCTAATTTGGCACATTGGGAGCTGTATAACTGAAAGCCGTGTGTGTTCTGTCAAATTAGGCCTCTGTAGAATGGGGAATGTGTGCGTGCTTATTAGCCATGTGAAAGGTTAGTTTTTGTTAGACGTATAAATCTTCCTTGAAATATCATTTTTGTTACTTTCCTACACCAACTCTCCGGCATGCATGGTGAACTCTCCCCCTGCAGGCATAGTTAACTGTTGCGCCCTCATATAACCCGGACCTAAAGTTCATCAGAAGCATCCGAGGAGCACAGCAGCAGTGCAATTACGCATTTTAGCAGCACTGGAAACAAGAAGTTGCCACTAGTGTTATTGTTGTTCCGCTTTGATTTCCTGGAGCGATGGCACTTTGAGGGCGAGCCACAAAGAACAAACTCCAGCGTACACAGCTCTTTTGGGGTTACCTCAGTTGTGGCTGTGGCCTGTGATGTGTTTTACTGGTTGGTGCATTGCAGAGAAAGGCAACATTGATCTGATCAGAGACGCAGAGACAAAGTGCCAGAGGAGAAAGCAGAAAGCTCATTCTAACACACTGCTGGATGTGGTTAATGTGGATGTTTGGCCTAGGTGTTTGGTTATAGATTTAGTGTATTTTGAAAAAACATTGCTGCAGAAATAAATGCTGCGACTATAATCACTCAGATCCGGATTATTTTAGAGGCGTTGGAGCCATTGTTTTTTTTATAATTTTTTTTTATTGTTTGATAAATATATACACACACAGGTCTAGGACACACAAATTAATACATGACAATTTGTACAAAACAACAAAAAGGAAAGGAAAAACATAGGATATAGACAAAATTTACTCTTTTGAACTTTTAACCACGTAACTCCACTGTTCCTATATCAAAAAGAGACCTGGCAATGGTTGCAGCTGGTAATTTACAATTTTAAGAAAAATCTATACATAGATCTCCTTCTAGTGGTAGCACATGGCTGATAATTTACCCTTCATACTTGTCCTTATATATTATCTACTGATTTCAAATTGGAAAACAATAAATTACTCATTATTATTTGAATGGCCTAAAACAATGCATATACTTTTTCTTCAAAGTATTAATTTAAGCCTATCCACTTATCCTCAGTTTTGTGAACACCTCACAATGTTGATTCAGGCCAAAAGGATCCACTATAACTTTTCTGGTGCTGGGTCCAACTTTTGCCTCATGGGAAAGTGATTACATATTCACTGTATAGTTACAGTATCTTGACTTTCTTAAGCTGTAGTATTTTTTTATTAGAATAAACGGACATTCAGGCAAAGAATATCTCAATATGGAGCTTGCATTTTAAGCGATTAGAGCAGTTTTGTGGAGGGATAAAACATCTGAAATGTCTCCACAGTGGGCGAATAAAAGTTCTTATCTTATCTTAAAAATGTCTTGAAAATTATGCAGTTGCAAGCTCGCTGTAGCAAGTCTTTGGCTGTTTCTATTTATATACAGTGTGTTGACTGAAACAGAAAAGTAGAATATCATTCATAAGTTGATATATTTTTGCAATTCAACTTACTGTACAATATAGACAATATCATGTGTTAGGCATTAAGCAAAGGGACAACTCAAAAATACAGAAATATATTAAAAAAAATATCTAATGATGAAATGAAAGTTACAATCTAAAACTGAACAGAGAAACTGGGGAAAACCACAGAGACAAAGACAAATGACAATGGACAAGGATTAAATGGGTAAAGCACAGGGGACACATGGACTCAGGGATAGGGTGGGGCTGACAAGCCTCAGAGGAACGGGACGAGGAAAACAGAACAAAACCACCAGAAATTTGATGTCAAAATAAAGTAACAAAAAAACAACAATCCACATCATGACATGACATGGTCATGGGTCCTGGGTCCTGGGTCCGAATCCCAGTCGAAACAGGGTCTTTCTGAGTGGAGTTTGAATGTTCTCCCCGTGCCTGCGTAGGTTTGCTCCGGGTGCTCCAATATAAACATGTACAATAGGTAAGCTCTGGTAGTCCTGACCAAGCTGAGCAACATCTGGAGACAGGCCCAGGGCACTAGTACTACGGCGACCGCTGCTCCTGACGGACGCCCTAGTGACATCAACATGGGTCAAATGCAGAAGATGAATTGACCTACGGGGGATAAATAAACTGCACCTTTACCTTACTTACTTTACTTTAACTTTCCGAGTCCAACCTGCATAAAATAAATACAGTACCATCCTTTTACAGAAATAATTAGCCTGCATCTGAAATCAGTAAACAGCCTGGCTTAAAGGCATTTATAATTCAGCCCAGAAGACTCCGTGGGGATGCAGAGGAAAAGCTACATAAAATCCCTTCTATTTGTGGAAATGCCAAGTGCAGCGGTGACATGTTCGCCTGTAGCCAGCGGTCACTCATGTCCTTGTGGATCTTACACATGTCGCATTGTGAAAAGCTCAGCCTGGAGCTGGATTCACATGTTCTTGCTTATGGGACTGCTCTGTTGCAAGGATGAGTGTGGCCGCACCGTGACCCTGTCCTGTCCGTCCTCTGTGGCTGGTTCATCTATCACGCCCCGTCCCGGTGTCGTCCAACGTGGTCGCGCCAATTCTTCACCGCCGTGTGCCCCTCACCAGTCCTTTACGATCGGCCGTTCTCACAATTGTCCATGCACTTTTCTGGCACTTTAGTCCGTATGGCAATGGTTTGTGACAGAATAGGGCTGCGTGATATGAGGAGAATTGTGTGATAAATGTCACATGAAATCATTTGAAAGTCTAATGCTGGGACGAGAATGGGAAAAGTTGATGAAGAGGTTTGACCCAAAACACATCGACGACAAAGGATTGGGCTCAAATTAACAGGACAGAGAAAATGATTCTCTTATGGTATTTAAAGTAATATAAGTATCTTGTAATAAATCAAATCTGCTTCATAAGTCACAAATAAAATCCGTAAAGTCCGGTCAATTGTTATTTCCTTACATGTACGTCTGGGTCTCATCCGTATGGCTGCTGTTACCTCGGATGTTTAGCAAATGTCAGTGCTGGTAAAGATGCTGTGGCAATACTCCCCACGGGCTCCGTTATTGGCAAATGAGGTGGCTAAAGCTAGGCTAAATGCTAAAGCTATACTAAATGCTAAAGCTAGGCTAAATTTTAAATGCTAGCTCACTCATACATGCATTACATATGTCTCAGTGAACTTAGATCAAGTCGTTTTAATCTGCAAAAAGAGTTAACCACGAATTAGCCCACGATGAAATTAGTACGATGGTTTGGTAAGAACAGGCTACAGACTGTTTAAAGGTCATTTAGGCTTATGTGAGGGAGCCTTCACAACTTACAGTCTATATGTAAACTACTACTTACTATCTACCACATCTAAAAATGTGGTGATTTTGTTTTGAGTCAGTATCGAGTTTATTTATAACTTCATATACTCACTTTTACAACAGCACTTGCTGCCCGAAGTGCTTCACATGCACATATATTGTAAAAATAGAAAAACAGTATGAAATATAGAACATACAAAAATGTGTTCAAAAAATTTAATAATTGAGTGAATCCAGGCTTAAAGTAATCTCTTCCAAAAGCCCATTCTCCTCCAGTTTTGAGAAGAGACCTGGGCATATTCAATAACTGTTGCTGGGGTTTTTTTTCTGTTTTTTTGCTGGTTTTTCTTACCAGACTGATCTGAAATTATCATAAAAACATAATAGCTCAAAATGGTCCCTTGTGAAAACTTTTGAAATTGATTCCAAGGTCACTGAGCCACCATCCAAATAGACTATGATATTGTTCTTGTTTCTTGATGACTAATGACCAAAGAAAAAATTGACTGTTGGAACAAAGTTAAATAAAAAGTTGGGTGCGTTGGATGAAGTTACGAGTCATGACAGTGGAGTGGCAATCTTCTTCACTGTATGCAGGTGAAAGTCTGAAAAATTAGAATATCGTTAAAAGTTCCGTATTTCAGCTTACAATGTGAATTTAATATATGACAGACTTAATGCATGCAAAGAGAGAGCCTTTATGTTGTATAATGTTGATAAAAGGCTCACAGATAAAATATTACAGATGGAAATGGACGATATTCTAATTTTGCACCTGTAAAAGCATTTCCTCAAGGAAAAAAACACAGCACATGAACGTTGCTGTTTGATCTCTTGTATTATTTTTTACAGAAGTGGAGATTTGCATATAGCCTTCACAACGTGTCACTTTTTGATGTATCATGCAGCCCTATGTGTTTGTGCGTCATTTTGCTTCTTGTCATGTCTGCACTCTCATGAATTGTGTTTCTGGCTCTGTTCTTTCTGTCTTTCTCTCTCTCCATCACGTCCGGATTCCTCCAGCTGCAGACAACAGACGGCCTCGTAGTGTGGAGTGGAGGGCCTATAAGATCTGAAGCTCACTAGACCACAAAACATCACTTTAAAGTAACCATCTTAGTCTTCCCAAATGCCTGACCCCTTTTTTTTCCTTTTATTCCTCCGGGTTCCCAATCCCCAGCTCCAAACTCCCAATTAAAACATTATAATTTCACCCAAACTCAATGTCATTCGCATCTATGGTCTTGTATGCTTATGCACAGTCCTAATTGCAGCTATGTCAGGTGACTTTGCACAATTTTTGTTTCATAAAACTGGGGTACCTAACTTTTATTCATTGTTCATTCATTCATAAATCATTGTTTTCAAAAATCTAAATAAAATCCATAAATGTCAATATTTATCAAAAAGTCCATAATCATTGGTTATCACAGCCTCACATATAGGGCTCTTACAAGTGTGCAAAAGGAAACATGTTTTAACCTATGATGAAGACAACATTTAAAGTTAGGTACGCCAGCTTTAATGTCTTGTCAAAAGTAAGAACATTATAAGGTTTTTATCTTAAAACTGGCAAAATGAGACTTGAAATACAGAAAAACAAAATGTTGAAAGGCTAAATGCTAATTGTTGCAAGTAAACAGTGTGTTGCTATGGTAAACCTGTGGCTACATTTGAATTATACATTTGAATGTTAAAGGAATGGTGTTAATGGTAGAACTCACATATCAAAAGTAAAAGATATTTCAAAAACAAATAATGACATAAGCCCTATTCGGACAGGATTAGTTTTACATGGGGACCCCTGGTAATTTGTGATAATCACGGAGGAGGTCTGAGATCTGACAGCGCATTCACACGGGATAAGCACTGTCTGTAATTTTCACTGACATCTGACATAACGGCCGCACGTGCGCGGGTCTCTCCGCTTCACGCAGTTCATAGAGACTGGTGTCTGACCACAGCAGCCACAGGAACCATGAAGACAAACACATACATGTGGATTTGACTGCTCTACAGTTCTCTGGCCTGTACTTTCTGTAATGTTTAAACAATACTATTTGTACGGACTACCTGTGAACGCCCCAAATACTCCGGCTGCAGCAACACTGTCCTCTACACTTCTCCATAGACCTCACAGAGACAGCATCAGCCGTGACTCTGCAGCTGTGTACACAGCCGCGGTCCGTGACTCCTCTGCTCATTGACAAAAACAACACAGAAAGTTAAGAGAAAGTGGCAATAGCGATCACTATCACTGACATGCAGATTCGCACGGGATTAGTATTATCAGAGGACGTCTGTTTTTGGACAAATACAGGAGGTAATTTGCGGCGGAATTATTACTTTACAAATTACAGACATGGCGCATTCGCACGGGACTAAAATCTCAGACGTCCTCTGCGATTATCACAAATTACCAGGGTCCCCATGTAAAACTAATCCCGTCCGAATAGGGCTATAGACACAAACTGCCTATAGATTTAGTCACAAAGTAATCAAGACCAAGAATGTACATAAACCGAGCAATGACACTTCTAAAACTAAAAGCCATCAGAAATTGAGAGCTCTGGCAGTTCTATTTTTAAATTTGAAAATATGCTCCATTTTTGAAGCGGTCTTCAGTTTGGGTGAAGTAATGGTGTATTTCCCTAACATGACTCTGTCTAATCGGCCATCTCTGAGAACAGTTCTCCTCTCTCCTCTCGCTCCTGCTGCTTGCTTCCATGTCCACATTGTTTGCTTGATGAGGCCTATCTCCCTCCACTTACCCAGCTCCTTACGTCTCCGCCCGGGCCGTCTCTGCTCCCCCCTCCATCCCGCACACAATCTTATCACTTGTGGTTTACTGCTTTCACCTCCATATCTCGCCCATCTCCCCCACGTCCCTCAGCGCCCTTGTTCCGGATTGATGGGGAGGAGGAAAAAGTGTGAAGGGATGGTGTAGTAGACAGGCAATATGTGATGGATGCAAGCATTACTCAAGAGTCCGCCTTCGCTCCACAAATGATACAACAAAAGCAGACGCCACATGAAGGCTGCGCGGGAAGAAGCAGTCGACAAATACACGGGCAAAACTGACGGACGGGCTGCCGACTTGGAACGACATGATTTCAGATTATTATTTTTTTATTTGTTTTGTTTTGTCTGCAATATTTTAGCTTGGCTTTTGATAAATTAAGTAGGATTTTGACTTGGAAAAAAAGAAGTGTTCAATTTGTGATCAATCGGGATTTTAACTTGCAAACAAGATATTTTCATTCGGCTTTTAATGAATAAGCGTTCACGCAGGATTTTGAGTTGGAAAGAACTATGAGGAATGCAATTATAGAGGATTTTACTGTGTTATTTTTTTTTTTTTTTACTGAAAATCGAAAAAGAAAAGTAGTCTAAATTTTGGACAATCCAAACTTCAGACAAGCCTCAGTTTTTAAGTGTCCCTGCCTGATCCAGCATAATATAGACATAGACTTAGACTTTGATTGCGTTGTCACAGTAGCTTGCATAGTATTTCACAATAAAAATGACATTAAAGTAACAATATGAAAATAATAATAATAATTAGGTAATATTGTGAGAATAGAATAATCTGGATATAGGTGCTCAGGAATACACAAATCTGTGAATATATACACATTTACAGAATAAAATAATAGGATAGCACACATCTGTCAATATAGTTTTGTTTATGTTATGACTTTTTAACTGTGTCAGCGTATTCAAGCCAATTACAACTATTACCATGAAATACATAACTCAAACTAAAAACTACTCCATCATAACAACCATTTTACTCACGGCATCTGCAATAACTTTTGACCAAACAATCGCATCCCAGTCTTGCCAATGTAACACAAGCCCCCTTTTTTTTATCACCCAACAAATGTCTCTTGTTGTCTTGTTCCCATTTTATTTTATGGATATTGGTTTTTTTAACAGCCCTGCACATTTCTGACAAATGCGAGACAATTTAGAGGAGTTAAAAGTTGGAAATGGAGCTTTAATGGGGGCTTTAAACACCACAGCAAAGAAACAATAATAGCAGCAATTATGGGGACCTGGGTACAGCGTCATGCTTTGTAAGGCAGCAGGAAGCCGGGGGAAGTTGCACTGTATAGTTGGCATTTAATGACTAAAAGGGTACGGTCTAAATTGTGGGATCCAATTGCACAGCTGTCAAGGCAAGCTGACATTTCAAGCCTCCAGAGTTCTGTTTTGTTGCATTGTGTTCTCCTGCTGGATGTGAAATACAGATTTATAATATATATATTTATATAGATGTACTGTATACCAAATACACAGCATTGTACCTTTTCAAAGAGCACAGACAAACATGCAGAAAACAGCCTAATGGGTGTTATTTTGTTTGTCTTTAACTTCTCAGTCACTTTCAGGTCCCACATCAGGCTTCACTGAGTTTCACCAGGTTCAATAACAAACCTGCAAATAACACGATGCCACATAGTTATCATTTCTTTTTTGAAATGACATTTCAAAAAAAAGTTCAACATTTTGAACTTTTATCTGCTATATAGTTATTATAAATGTGTTGATCTGAACATAATGAAAGGAATAAAAATGCATTGCACCAGTAAACGTAATCACAACCAGGTGTTGACATAGCAGCAGATCACAGTAGATGTGTTTGTTTTTGCTGACTTATTTTCATACATAGGTTTTTTCCTGGAATATTTTATCATTGTACTGTATATGTCATCACACTCAGAGCAGTGTTGTGCCTTTTAAAACAAAAGTAGTTCCCATGGATTCATTTTGGCAGTATCTCAAATGAAACGAGATGTTCTTTGCAACGTCTTTTCTATGATTGCAGCCGGTAATTTTTCAAATAAAGAAAAAGTCAATGCACCTCCTTCTGCCGGTGGCGTAGGGAAAGGGCAGACCGATATCATTATTTACCCTTTCATCATATATTTTCCACTGAAGAGATACTGTTTCACATTCTAAAACATGAAATGACAAAGTAAATAGTCTCATTATCATTTCTAATCACCAAAAAATGAAATTACTTATTTCTTCTTTAAAACATTGTACAAAGTGTAAACAAACAAATCTGACATGTCGATTAGTAGTAGCTCAAAAGCTGGATATCTCATCATTTCATATTGGCAGCCATTTTACTGTTCTGAAGCATGTAACTTGATATCAATCCCTGATAGAACTCTATTCTCTGGCCTCTGTTGGAAATGCCTCATGAACAAGCACACGCAATGCTCCCTGTGTTGTCTTGTCAGCACCTCGTGACCTTACACTTATTGCACTTTGTTTTCTTCCCTCACAGGACCCTGATGTAAGTTGTTCGGAACGGCCGACGTGGAGCGCACTCTGCACCACTAGGGACAGCAAAATGAAAAAGCCAGAAGAAAAAACAAAAAAAACAAAAAAAAAACTACAGCACTATCCTTGCCTATGTTCCCTCTGCCAACCCCATACACCGCCCCTTTTTCTTTGTTTGTCGAACGCAGGCTTATAGACACAGACCTGGTTGTGTTTCTTTGGACTATCATCATCTGGTATTCTCTCTCTCTCTATCAAAAAAAAAAGAACAAAACAAGATTTGGATTCAGCATCATCAACGGATTCGCCGGCGTTTTAATCACTTCGCTCTGTTCAGGTGGACCAAGGTCTTCTTTCAAAGCAGCGGCCCGTTCGCAGCCTATTCAAATACAAAACTTTCTCAAGAGAGGATTGACAAATGCATGGAAATTGAAGAGAAGTAAGGTGCCTACATTTGCTCAAAGTCTTTGTCCATAGCGTCTGCCGGGACACGGAATAACCTGGTAGACAAACACTGGACTCTAGACGGCATGAGTAAAAGCAATGGAGCAGAACTCTTTTTTCTTTTTGTGTGTTTGAATTTGGACAATGTGAAAAGAAAAAAAAAATGCTTTGAACTTAGGGTGTATGAACTTGGAATCCTACTCAGCAACTGCTCGGGATCTCAAGCTACGTGAGAGCCCTGTGGATCCGTGCTGAAGGCCCACTTAAACAGGTGAGTGGTCGAATGATGTGCCTGTTAACCTGAATGAACGGGGAGCCAAAAGTGAAGTATTTCAGC